AAAACCTCTCTGAAACCGCGTTGTACGAGACCATTTGGGCTGTAGAGTATGAGGGTGAACTCCCTGTCGATGGCGAGCCGTACGATGATAGAAAATGGTCGTAGGCATCATATTGAATAATTCCTCTGAGCACAATCCGTTGTACAAGCAGTAGGACATACAGAGTAAGGCAAAATCTCTCCTAAGACTTAAGGATTCGATACCGCTTGCAAGCCTGGGATCATTAACAATTCTCATAGCTCGTCGTTGCACTGAGTCGAAGGGTTCAAGCTGGTATCTAGGTGCTCCCGCCCATAAGTGACAGCAATACTCCATATGGGGGCGGATTTGCGATTTATAAAGCATTAATCGCTGATCCGGCGTGAAGTAATGCTTCGCTCTATTAAGCTTCACCTTATCTTCGAGGTGGCCACGGAACTGTACGTCACTAGAGATGTCGACACCAAGGATCCCAATGCTTTTAGAGATGTTAAGAGACGTGCCCTGGAGCTGTGGGGCCACAACAAATGGGGTTTTCTTAGCGGTGAACTCGCAAGCTTGTGTCTTTTGTTTTGTAGTTTGATACTCCTCCGTCCCCGCCTTACCTCAAAAGTTACCCTGACGAGACTCCTTCGTAAAGCTACTGTAAGAAAAATAAGTTCCTTTAATGCTCTCTTACTGGACCGCTATTGATGATGTTTCCTCATAAATACAAACGGAGCACTGTGTCTGTATATGGTCATACACTATGAATGATAAAGTTGGAGGGGCGTGCCATGTTAACGTAGATTATCTTATACTTAGCTCACATATGTATCGGTCCTTTTTCTGTATTTTATTTAGTTTAATCTTGATTACTCGATCGTCTTCTTCGTAATAATGTTATGTAATCCAGACACAAAGTATTCTGCTTGAATTGGTTCTGGATACTTGGCAACAAATAAGTACTCGTAGCGAGACGAATTGGTGAATAATAATGTTTGATGATGATATCTGACGATGAAGGTCCTTATTTTGCGGGATCCAAATAAAAATCAGTGGCTACTAATGTTCGACTAAATAAAAGAATAATAAAATTATTTTACCTATCTGCTGTAGTATGATTAAGATCGTCATCATTGTGTTCAGATATATTTAATTTGCATACATTTAATATTTATGAATTTTGTATTTTTAGGTTTGTTTATTTACATATTATTATTTATGTAAGTATAATTGCTTTTTTTTGTATAAATGTATTATTAGTAGTATTTAAATATATGTTTTCAATGCTTTATTGCACTACTGATGCTCACTCAAGATTTTTTATACCACTGTTCGGTTAACTGGAAGAGGTCTCTTTTAGAGATAAGTTTGTTCACCTTTGATCACATTATTTGCAATAATTTATATTATTACCGAATTTCTGACTGCAATAAAGAATATAAGTACATATAAATGAATATTCTGAATTTAAAAGTACGCTCGGAAGCACAATTCTTTCAGAATAATGGCAGTAGACACGCGCTGGATGTGTGAGCGAGACACATGAATACAAAGCTATAACAGGTTCCACCACCCTAAAAGTATTTTAGATCAGAGTATTACATGATTTACTTAAGTCGATCCTCACGGGACTTGTGCTCGTTAAATTGTTTATTACGATGCTCATATACATGTACAATGGGAATTTAACGAAGTCATTGTGCTTATCGTCTATAGAACAATTTTGTAGGTACATCAGGGCCCGTTTCTTCATTGCGATCTAGTTGTTTTTATTTTAATTCTACATCTTTCTGCCTCAAAAGGATTTGTGAAAGGAAATAATTTGAGCTAGTATCTAATTTAACTGTCCTTGAAATCGGAGCTAAAATTGTTTTGAAAATAGTACGCAAATGTTTTTACCAGTAACGGTATAATTGTCCAATATCATTGCGATTTATCGTTGAGTATTTTGTATTTACAAGTGCAAATGTATCAGTGAAAATAAAAAGTTTGTTGAGTTCACTTACGCAGGTAATACCCGTATTTATTCACAACCGTACAAATGATGACGCACTTTAATACTATACGGCATTAGACAGAGTTTGCATTGTTGGATGTCGGTAAACGCAACAAGTCGTTGGGCAGTATGACCTTTGCTTTTGTATTATTATTTCAATTTGGTTGATCAACAAGTAGTGTATTAATTAAAAACTGATAGAAATAACACGAAGCTTATAATTTCACGAATTCCAACTATTATAAAATAGTTAGCATTAATAGGAAATGGTTTTGTGCTATTATCTTCGTTCTACTAAAAAGATTTGAATGAAATTTAATACAAGGAAAGTTATATCCTTACTCAGCACACAAAATACTTTATGAACTGATCCTCGAGGGCGAAAGCGTGAAATTCAGCTAGTATCTCATAAATTTTTATTAGAAATAGGTATTATTGAGCAACCAATCCAAAAATTTTGTATGTTGAAAACATGGCTAGCTTGATTATGCACAAATATATAAACTAATGTGCTCATATATATAACGTGTAAGTATATAAAGAACTTTATTAAATTTGCTCAGGTTTAAGTTAATCTTACATGCATACATTCATATATGTCACGCTTGACTTCCGTTGGGGTGGACAAAAATTGGAACGTTGTTTTGATGAAACGAATGTTTTGATTGAAGCAATCTTTTTTTGCTTTTTGCATATTTATCAACCTTTTTACCTTTTTTCAGCATGTCGTCTATTTTAGGACATTTCAGTTTTAGGACATTTTTTACCAACATCAAGTTTATCAACGTTAATTTGTGCGCGATAAATCTCCTACATAATTCTTATTTCACCACACTCTCCTTCTAAATAGTCAAAGCTACGTCACATCGCTTTCTCTACATCGTCTTTCAATCCATACTTTTCTTTAATCACGTTATTTTTAACTCTAACTTTTAAAGTAACACCACATATATTTATCAGAGTTCTCATCTCTTTAGTGTTTGTTTGGTTTTCATGTTACATTTGCCGTACCCACGATTTGCTTCCATACACAAGTGTTGGTGTCAGTAGTCCTTGAATTATGGAAAGGCAAGTGTTTCCCTTTTTGCTGTTCTTTCAATATCTCCCTCACACTTTTCGTCTCCCCTAATCAATGCACCCAAAATATAGCAACTATAGTACTAACTTAATAAATTCACTAGCTTAGGGGCATGTTGACATTATTGAATAAATAATAATTTAGTAATATCATTAATAATAAGACTTATTTTTGATATTACCAAAAAGTGGTCAGTTCCGACATTTGTACAACGATGCTCTTGATCCTTCACTTATGTTCTCAACCGTTTATCCTTAATTACAAAAGTTATCATACTTCTCTCAGATTGTTTTTGCCATGTATATACATATATGAATCAGTTTGTAAATAAAGAAAGCATTAGTTGCCACAAGTTTCCTTTCCAGGCATACTTCTAATAAACTATCACCATTTTCATTCATTATTTTATCTTGAAATATTCCTAAAGTCTTTTCACATTTATCATTAAAAATTCCCACCTAACTATTAATGTCAACTATAATAACAATCTTTTCATTTTCTTTCCCATACTCTATCCCAGAATTTCTCTCTGATCTTTAGTAGTCCGGACATATCCGCATCATAAGCGCGAAGGAGAAAAATTGCGGTTTTGGTTAGATCACTGTTTCAGTCGTATTCAGAGTAGTCTAGGAGTCACATATTCAAATTCTTTTACAAATTCTTTTACTCTCTTTGACAAAATAAGTCTCTATTCTTGGCTGCCTCCCTCAGAAGTTTTTTACTCTATATCAGTACTTCTGGACTAGTAAATGGATCATGAGTAATAATCGAGTAGCCTTTCTTCTTCGTTCCACCACTTCTAACATATCAATTATTCTCTCATGCATCGTCTCATGTACTTTGTCTGTTTTACTACTTATATCTCCATAAACATGGAGCGTTACTATTATATATAGCATCCCCTTGCCCTCTTTTTGCCATTTAAAAAAGTTAATAAATTAATTAAAAGCAGATAAATCGATTCAACTCATCACAATTTTTTTTATAATACTTAGAACATCAAAGAAACTGACGGCCCATCTGACGGAAAGAAGCAACCGATGCATTTTATATAAACATGAATAACCTTAGATATTATAAACTAAACTAAACATATCACATATTAGACTAAGATGCTCTTGGTATCTCTTATACATTGACATACCTCAGAAGTATGATGTTATTTTTATTTATTTATTTATTCATTAGTACAAATATGTGTACATGGCGGACTTAATGCTAAAAGCATTCTCTCCCAGTCAACCATAGGGAAGTGTCAGAATACTTGAATGCGGTACTACTAATTATTGATATACATACATATTAAAATTACATATACAAATAAATAAATATATATGAATAATAAATATACTTACACATATATGTTATATACTTTATGCACGAAATTGAGAATAATATAAAGCACTTACTGCTCGGATAAAGTAAGACAGTGAGCGCGAACGCTTTTTTTGAAAGACGGTTTAGTCGGTAGTCTCTTAATGGAATCAGGAAGCGCGTTCCAGAGTCGTGAAGAATGTAGGAGAAAAGAGTTTGAAACGTAACCATTACGGTGAGAAGGGAAAGATAATTGGAGAGTATTATTGAAACGATGGTTACGTTCGTGAGTTTCAAAAAGATACTGGAATTTACTCCTTAAGTAGTTAGGAGATGTTATGTTAGGAGTAGTTATGTTTCCGTACAATTTTACTGCCATATTTCATTAAATATATCTGCTTCAAGACCTAAACAGAGTGGGACAGAGGTAGCAACACAGATAATTTTTGAAGATAGATTCGACTTCTAAATATTCTTCTGTGCTTATCAACAAACAGTATTTAGTTATTTTTTTTTTTACATTTAATAGTTTTACTCAAACAGTATAGTTATAGGCATGCACCAAAAAAATTATGATTGTTAAATTCTCTAATTGTCTGTGTAATAAGACGTACCTAATAATGACTATAGTAAAATAAAAACTCAACATACATTTAACACATATATTAGGATTCTACTTTTTTTTTATTTTTTTTCTTACATCTATAACATATAGAGAGTTAACCAGAGCGACAAAGTACAGAAAAAGAAGAACCAACTAACCAACCGCTTTAGACAAAGTATAAATGAATCTATTGACAGAATTGTTATCACTAGTGAGCCCATTAGACTGAATGGGGTGGCGACGTGCGTCTTGTTCTTCTCATGTGAGAGCTGACCGAAGCGATTCTATCGATAGATTCGTTTGCACTTTGTCTAGTGGAGCAGTAGAGCAATTATTGCGGATATTGAACTATTTCGATTCGTGGTATCACTTTTTAATCAATGACATGTCTTCCAATAGTAGCAGATTCGATCGCTGTACAATATAAACTTTTATGTTTATAAAATATTTAGCTCGAAGCCTGATTCATATTGCAAATATGTGCTGAAGTGAAGACCATGGGATTGTAAAAACCCCATAGTGAGGCTATAGATGTGATAGAAAGATGACCTGGTGACTAACGGGGTACTATTCGACTTTGATTGCCTAAAATAGATTAAAAAGGAGAAGATTGAAGGAGGCCTACACCATAGAATTGATTGATGAAAACCAAAACGATAAGGATGATATTCATGTGTTTAACCGTATTGATTTGAGTATTTCTATGTACAATATGTATTTCTAAAAAAAAAAATATTCAAGTATGTTTGCTGTATCGAGCTGAGTATTTTTAAACGGTTTTATTTAGCTCGACCTGTACGGTATTTATTTATTTGGGTCAAAATTAGAAATTGGAATTTAAGCACCTTCCCGTTGTCAGATTGATCTGAAATTTGGTACACACATTTAATTTAGATGACAATACAATATAATAAAATCAATAACATTATAAATCTAAGATGGCCGCCGATACAAAATGGCGGATTACATATTTTTTTCCTTAACCCCCGCAATATGGGTATCAAATGAAAGGGCTACACTAGTAAAACACGATGATTATATCAAAATTTAAAATTCAAGATGGACGCCGTTCCCATATGGCGGACTAGGTACATATTTTTCCACAACCACCACAATATGGGTATCAAATAATAGGACTACACTGCAGAATACTGTCATTATGTCAAAATTTTAAATTCAAGATGGACGCTGTTACAAAATGGCGTATTAGGTGGGGGCATGATTAGTCGTATCGAGAACAGTTGCGTCTAAGATTGTGTGACGTTAGAGGGGTAGATAAAAAAAAATAGGTAATTAGATACCTCGTTAGTAAGCGGTAGTTATACCACCCAAGTTAAGGTAATAGGTTAAAACGTGCCGAGGACTGTATGCCATTAGGGTGGATAAAAATGTAATGTCGTAAGCGCTTCCCCCTCAAGATTGGGCGCATCTTGTTGTATATTAAGCCTTGCCCCTTTACTGGACTGCGAGGGGGGGGGGGTCGACCGTCAAAATGCCCCTTAATTGTGGGAACAACATGGTAACAATAAATAAAAAATACCAACAAATATAAATAAGACTGGAGGCTTACCATCAGTACTTGAAATATTTGTAGGTGCAAAAGTAATGTTGCGGCCCAACATTGACGTTACAAAAGGATTGGTAAATGACGCTATAGGCCACATTACAGAAATTTTTTGGTCTCAGTTCCGTCGAACCCAAATGTACGAAACAGATATATCATCAGTTTTAATTGACTTTGGCACAGACGGCATGCACGTTATTTACCTTAAAGCCATACAGTTTCCAGCAAAATTCAATTATGGTACGGCTGAAAAAAGGATGTTGCCCTTAGTTTTGTCATGAGCATTCACCGTCCATAAAATGCAGGGCAGCACCGTCGACCATGCAGTGGTATATTTGGGCTCAAAATGGTTTGAGGAAGGACAAGCGTACGTGGCTCTAAGTCGAGTCAAGTCTCTGGAAGGGCTATGTATTGAGGAATTAGATTGTACTAAATTTTCAGGTAAGAAACCATGTAATAATGATGCACTGAATGAATTAAATAGAATGAGGAATATTCGGTAAACAATTTCACTACTAAAAACTAAAAACAAGAAAATAAAAATCGGTAAAAAAACTTTTAAGTTAAACGGTTTTATTTTATGTGCACTGAAAACTACAAAATAAATAAATAGTTACTTACCTATCAACCTACGTAGGTGATCTCGGTCATTAATATCTCTGATGGTAGTGGTTGTCATAGCATGAACCATGTCAGCGGCCGAAAGGCAGTTCATGAGAGAACACTGACACCAGGGTTTGCTTGGTAGGTAAACTAAGCAGCCCACACTATAACAAGTAGGTATTTTGACCTTCTAGTTCAGAAATATTTTAGTACTAGGCAGAATAGCTTTTAGGCATATTAGACTAAAATAAAAACGTGGGGCCCCTCTGAAATCATACCTATAGCAGAGCATATCTTATACTTTGGTAGATCATGAGCTCAGCGTTCGCTGGTGAAGCCGTAACGGCTGGTTATTGATGGTCAAAACCTCCAGTAACGATTATAGTAAGTCGATTCAGCGGACCCTGGACTCCGGAGCTATGAGGTTTCGGATGCGACCGGGATAAACCGCTAGGATGATGATGATGACGATTATAATAAGTCAATGCAATCCACACTTAGTATAGTAGAAAGTAATACAGAAATAGTTAATGGGCCCCACGTTTTTATTTTAGTCTAATATGCCTAAAAGCTATTCTGCCTAGTACTAAAATATTTCTGAACTAGAAGGTCAAAATACCTACTTGTTATAGTGTGGGCTGCTTAGTTTACCTACCAAGCAAACCCTGGTGTCAGTGTTCTCTCATGAACTGCCTTTCGGCCGCTGACATGGTTCATGCTATGACAACCACTACCATCAGAGATATTAATGACCGAGATCACCTACGTAGGTTGATAGGTAAGTAACTATTTATTTATTTTGTAGTTTTCAGTGCACATAAAATAAAACCGTTTAACTTAAAAGTTTTTTTACCGATTTTTATTATGTTCAATATGTATTCCCAAAAAATTTAATTTGAGTATGTCTGTTTGTTCTTCAGTATAGCTCTGATTAGTTAGGGGATAGGTTGAGTTGTGTAATTATATCTACTCCTATACCTACTGATTCCACTAGATTAATTACAACAACTACTACTGCTACTACTATAGCTACTATTTGACTAATATCTAATAATAAAGCGTTTAGTGGATATTCTGTTTATTTTCTCTCTCTAAAATCCTTAATTGGATTATCGGACTATTGGCCAAATCGATCGGGCTATTCTAATCTGTTGTGTTAACCAATGTACAACATTTAATATTCAATTTATACAGATTTACCTTGAATAATATATTACGTACTATGTGGTGAGGCCTCTGATTGGTTTTCGATTTGTAAACTTTTGTCGCTCTGTGTACATTGAAATTCGTATTATTAGTTATATTCATAGAATATTTAAAATAATATAACAAAGTATTTGTCCTATTTAAAAAGAATCAACAATTTTATTTTTATGAATATAAATTCATACGTAAAAAAAATAATGTAACGTAATACTTAACTGAAGTTTAATGAAAAATCAAAAGATTTAGTAACTAACATGTTAGGATCTGTAACCGATTAGTCTTATAAGTAATTAATATAATTTTTGATTCAATAATAAAATAATCACGAATTCCGAAATTATATTAATATTATTCTATGATTAAATGCTGAATAACATTTACTTATTTCATTATTTTATACCTAATTATACAGTGAAACAAGGATGAATGCATATCTAAAACCAAAATGTGAATGTCATATCCATTATCTTTATAATTTCCTTTCAATACTTGTCAAAGGAAAAAGTAAATATAAAAATAGTAACTAATTTTGGTGAAAATTTGCAGAAAGTTAGTTTGTAATCCAGAGAGTTAGATTGCCATTACAAATTATTATAAAATGTAGATAAACGTATTATTTTTATTAAAGATAAAACATTCATCATATGCATTTATTTATACAAATGAAATAACCTAAGATTCCGGCGCAGAGTTTTACAGGTATAAGATTTTTTTATAAAACTTGTTTAAATGAAAGATGAATTAAAATATAATAAATACAATGTATCCGGGTTACTTGCTATCGGTTAGGCGCAACCTAGGGCTGCCAGTTGGGAATTATTATTTTTTATGATGTCGTATAGGAAAAAGAATAAACTTACGTTTAGTGGAGGTTTTATCACACTTTGTAATACAGGTTATAGGGAGTTAGACCCTATTACTATTATACAACACCATCATGTAGAATAAAACTAGATGCTGCTATATTTACTTGCGGCCGTTTTTATAGGCAACCATATGTTACTGTGTAAAGTTGGGTGTAATGGTTGAATTTATTTATTCGTTAAATGTTAATACTTAATAATCGTCATAAGTTAATTTTTATGGTTTAACTAATATTTAGTTTAAAATATTGTTTATTTTTTTGTTGTATATATATATTAGGGTTAAAAATATACTATCTCTAATTCTCTTAAAAATATTGAATAAAAATATTGTTCCTCTAATTCGTTAACAATATTGAATATTAATTTTAAAAATATAATTTCTCTTATTAATTAAAATATTGAATAATATAATATTAAAATCTTATATATAATTAATAATATCTTAAAACATCTTTTATTTATGAAAATATTTTATTTTTATAACAATGCTCATCCAGGGTAGATCCCAAATCAACAAAGTACTACAAGCAATATAGTTTTAAACTTTTCAGCAATTCCAATGACAATGAAAAAGACAAATGCAGTCCGACTGACATTTTACTATATTTTATTAATCATGAATATGAATTCCAGGCCTCGAAGGTATTTCCTTGGCTTACTTCAGAGAATTTGAAGTAAGGCTCATAGACTTGCTCCTTATATTCCAAGTACTGCTGTCTTTTGTATAAATTGTTGGCAAAGAATTACTATAATTTTCGAGTTGCTGCGAGTTTCTCCAGACGAAAATCATGGTCAATGGCATCAAAGGCCTTACGAAAATTGACGCAAGCAGCGTCCACTTGTAACCCTTCGTCAAGAGCTGGTGTGACGTGCAATGAAAAAATTATTGAAATATTAGCAGTGCTATGTCCCGAATGAGAAAGCCATGCGAATAACAGCGGAGAAACTTGTGCATAAATTCTGCAAACTTCTTGGCACAATTTACTTAATCTCATTTCTATACCTAGTGATACGCTGAGTTTTGGTTTTGGTACGTTTTGATTTAATACAATTCCGAAAAGAGCCTGGATTTAATCAAAATTACGCCTGAAATCTATTTAAGTAAAATTTTTATTCTAGTGAATGTTTGTCCTTGACACGCGCCTTATTGCGTTTATATGTTTTATGTAATTTAGTTTTATTTGATGTCGTTAAAAAATATATTGATTAAAGATATTGTTTCTCTTATTTGTTAAAAATATTGAAAATTAGTGTTAAAAATATTTACTTTTATTATTTTATAACATTGAATAAAATAATTTACTTTTTCAATAATATTTAATTTTAATAAAAATAATAGCCACAATAGCTAATAGTTTTTCTTATTTAATAAAAATATTAATGTTAAAAATATAGTAATCTCAAATTCGTTAAAAATATCTAATAAAAATGTGAGTAACGAAAATGTCTTTTTCTTGTTTCTCTGATTATTTGCAAGTATTTTACTCGATATCAATACTAATTTTGAATGGATTTTTGTGAATCTTTTTGTAATCGATAGAATTTATTTTTATGTGGATGCCTAGTTTCCATATTAATTATATTACGATTGAAGTAGGTCATATTTTTTATATCATAAAATTATATAATTTTAAATTATGCTGATATAAAGTACAAAATATTAATATGTACAAATGCTAATATTGTCCGAATTGTAGGTAACAATTTCATTAGGTTAAAATCTAAAACACTAAATTTGAATAGGATTATTTCGGTACAAGAAACTCCATATAGAATCGATTGAAAGAAATCAAATCCCTGATATCGAGAAAACACAAATTCGATTTTACTCACATCTTTGGCAATACTGTTTGACAGCTAGATTTCTTGATAAAGGCTGACACTTATAGTATTATATAGAATAATTTCGGATCGCATCCGTTGTTATGAATACATTTATCGTTTCTATTATATAGAAAACCATAAATTTATATTTGGTTTATTTGGTCAAACCAAATTTACCATAATTAGTATATATTTTCATTTTACAACTGTAAGTTAAGCCTAACTAATAATAAGCAATCTCGTGCAATGCATTGTTATATATTTTAGGTTATCTTTCATTTATAATTAGCTTCATTATAAGGTCTTGCAGAAGTGAGGGGCGAGGTTTTTGGCTGTTAAACCTTATTTCCCTTTATTTTATTTTTGAGAGCATTGTCGTAGTTTAATAGTTTATTACATTGGTATAAGAGGTCGTAAATTCAGATTTGGTTGACGAAGCTATTGTTGTAATTTATATCTAATTCTCTGGTAACAAAAACAATCCACAGCGTTATATAATACAAAATGTTGTAGCGCTTATTAAGTACTTAACTACTACTTATCAATTAAGTATATTTTAGAATAAAATGTTGGTAGTAATATTTAATACGAGATGATATTAATATAATATGAACATGCTTATAAGAGCGTTCTATCCGTGAAACAAAACATTTTTCTAGAAAAACATGAGTTGTAAATCAACAAATTTTTTTGTTCATATCCAGCTAATGTCTATTTAGAAAAAAAAAAAATAGTTTCTCTTGTAGTATTCCTTAAAGAATGCCAATAATTTCGATCACACTCCGGCTTCCTATTGACATTTGTTTACTAAAGGTTAATAAATTATTCTTTTATTATTTTAAATACTATCTTTTTAATGTGATCCATGATCTTTTTTATTTAAATCTGGCTTTCAATTTTTTCAAATGTTACATCGCTTTCACTTATTTATAATGCTCTATATACTGGTTAATTCTGCTATTGAATATTTTTCATTTATAATGTTACTGTTCGAATTGCAACGGAAAATCGAAAACGGATTTTTTGTTTTGGTTAGTGCTTTATTATCGTTAAATAATCTTGGTATGACTTTTACTGAGATCATTATGTTACTACAATATTTCTTGTCATATATTTTTTTATTATTTGTTGTTTTTGTTAAAAAGAAACGTCGAAGTTGTTTAGCAAATAAAACAAATAATAAAAACATATGGAACACACACAGCCGCAGTTCGGCTGCCTTAATTTATAATCTATATATTTATATTCAAGTATTATAATATTTTTACTCTTCGAATCCAACGAAATTAACTAAATGAACACACGCACAGTCAGTTTGGCTGGATTAATAAGAACGTACATAATTTGGCTAAATTCGAATAGTATAAATAATTACTTATATTCTATTTACTGTTCGAATCCAACTAAATTAAATAATGAACACACGTACAGCCAAAGATTGACTGGCTTAATTAATACGTAGGTAATTTAGTTGGACTCGAATAAGCAAACAAATCCAATAATTATAGTATTCCTATTTTTAAAACACACAACACAGATGGAAGTTAATTGAAGTATAATCTTCCCACACTTATCTTTTTTAGTTCCATCTAGATGTTCATAATACGACCTCATCAATACATCCATACAGCAATCAATTGTGGAATGCAACACATTGCATGGACCTTAATCCCGAAGGAGAGCCTCATCAATAATCTATCATAGTCATGAAAACTATCGCTACTACTATTGCCTCGAAAACGGCATGCGCAAAAGCGCGTGCCCACAAATGCCAGCGTCCTTAATGATGTCATGCTCTCCCTCATCTGCTTTTTTCACTTGCTTTATTTATTTCGAAGATCACATCAACGATCACTTCAAAAACCATATCAAAGATCACATCAAAAACCATCTCGAAGATCACCTCATAAACCATCTCAGAGATCACCTAAAAACCATCTCGAAGATCACCTCATAAACCATCTCAGAGATCACCTAAAAACCATCGCAGAGATCACCTTTAAATTATTTCGAAGTTCACCTCATAAACCATCTCAGAGATCACCTAAAAACCATCGCAGAGATCACCTCTAAATTATTTCGAAGTTCACCTCATAAACCATCTCAGAGATTACCTAAAAACCATCGCAGAAATCACCTCTAAATTATTTCGAAGATCACCTCAAAAACCATCTCAGAGAACACCTCCAAAACCATCTCAAAGATCGCCTCGAAGATCATCACACGCATTTCCTGGTAATCAAAATACCAATCGTCTCTGACTAAAACTGACCTATCATCCCTCGACAGTGTACGGCGGCTTAGGCCAAGGTTCGAGCCCAGAACCTCAACATCAACGCTTGCGTAAAAACACGCAACTTCTAAAACTAGGGAACTCTTTTAACCTATATATCTTTTCTTATATAATTAACCTACAGTTATTCTATGCTGTAGTAAGATTATTATCAAACAGCTCTGTACAATGTTAGCACTATGGCTCATGTAGTGCTTTCTAAATTATTTTTTTCGAAATATGTATCTCGATTTGCTTATAAGATTGCAAAAATGTGTTTTTCTCATTTGTTTTATTCGATAAATAATCTTATCACGGCTTTTAATAAAATCGTTGAAACATTAAAACAATTACCTATACTTAGATATGTAACATCGAAAAATAGATTTACTGTTACTACTTTTTTTTTCTTTTTTAGGTATATATGAACCAACAGTTATATAACATGTAATAGAATATATTTATATTTTTATGCTCTAAGTATATCTAAAATTGTCATAATGTCATAGTTGTAATTTTTAGAATAGATAAATAAAAATAATTAATATTTAATAATTTGACTCTACCGCCCATTCACAATGCAATTACCGCTGAGAAGAATGGGCAAGAAACTCAGCTTTGCTTTTCAAAGAAAAGTTGAGTTTACAAAAAAAAAAAAACCAAAAAAGAGAATGAATATTACTAAACATTACTAACATTTACTTAAAATTACTTGACTACTTCAAAAGGTATAATATACATAAATGCATTACTCATGTGGTAATTGATATTCCAAGTAAGTTTTGCCAGTTTTGTACCTAGACCTATGATGGCTGGTGAGGTACACTAGTAAGTCCATTTTCGATAGCCTTGTGTATTTCTTAGTGCTTTGTAGGTTCATAGCGCTGGAGGACCTCAATTAGATTATATTTTTTTTTATTATTAACTCAGAATTTCATTATTTATAAACCGATTTTATTTATTTTTTATCTGAAAGAACTTTCAGATTATTCTGATAGAAATTATATCAATGGTTAATGGTTTTTTTTAGAACAAAATTTACTTGTGTTCGTATGACTGTGCGATAATTTTTTTTTTCTTATTGGGTTTATTTCATATCTTGCCGTATCTTTTAATGATTTTGTTATTTGCCGATGTCTATATTGGTCGTTATCTTATTTTTAAATTACTTATTTTGTTAAAAAGAAATATTTACGTTAATAAGTAACAATAGATTGAACACACTGACACAGCCACAGTTCAGCTGGTTTAATAAAACGTAATTTAGTTTGTTTCAAAATTGTAAATAAAAAATTAAATTAATTAAATTTTAATTTAGTTTATTTTATAAATTAAATTAAATTAATTAATCATATTTTTTTTAATACTACTTAAAATGGGAAATAAACTGATAGCCCACCCGATGGAAAGTGGTAGCCGTCGCCTATAGACGTAACCAACATCATAGACATTACAGAATACACTATGAAACCATTGTATGATTCCTTGACCTTGCCATTCATAAGGACTACGACGTTATGTCTCCGTATCCTGTAATTTTGCTGCCATATCCCACCAAACACAGCTGTTTCACGGCAGTGATACGAGTGGGGTAGAGATACCATGCAGATTACTTTAGTATGAAGTCTACCTTTAGTATATTGGTAAAATATCTACCATCATCACTGTCAAACATTGTTCTACTGGTATTCCCCTATTGGGAGATTTTGCCAGTAGTTTGCCATGCTTGATAGGTGGGCTGGTAATCGCAGTGAGGCTGTGGTGATGTTTTAAAAGGGATGCTGCTGCCCATCCCTCGGCCATTAAATTCCCTTTAGTCGCTTCTTACGACACCCACGGGATAGTGGGGTGGCCTATTCTACGCCGGGACCACACGATGTGCAATATCTATAATACTATCTTAAAATAGAATCAATAAACATGCAATTACATAATAACATCTTATATCAACTAACGTATATCTTTTTTTTTACATTTTTATCATTCATGCTCTTAATAATGAACAACAAATAATGATATTGACTTAAAGACTACATACATAACTATATGATAAATGATATAGATTTAATAAGCTTTACGCAGGTATGGATTTAATAATTTTCTACCATCATTACCCAAATTTCCTCACAAGTCTTATTCCTGTAACGTTTGTTGTCGTCATAGTGTGGCCATTGTTGAATAGCTTTGTACAAATTTGCGCCGGGGCTCTCTGTGCTTTGCAGGTCCTTAGCGCCCATCACAACATAGTTGGGATCAAGGTGGCCTTCTTCAACGGACGCTTCCAAAAACATCAAGGTTCTGTTCACTTGCAGTTGTGTAACTTTCGTGTGTTGAGTGCCTGCGTCCTCGCGGTAGTCACCTAAAATACACAACAGATTTTATTACACAGTACAATACAACAATAATAATATTGTTTTGTTACGCCAGAAATAACAAGTAGATTTTGTACAAAAAAAAAACACCGACATAAATTACAGCATAACCAATTATTTTGATCCAAAAACTACTTAAACTACTAAATAGATATTAATTAAATTTCTATGAGATCAATCTAAAAGGATATCGTTTCAGATAAAAATAAATTATGTAGTTGTGAGGTAATAAAATTAAATATAACAAAATTGAGAATCTCTGCCTTTTTAAAAGTCGGTTAAAAAAGATAAGGAAGAAGAAATTAAGTTTTTTTTCTTTTTAATAAATGGGGGAAATCACGCTCACTTTACTCAAGGTAATATGGCCAAAAATTCAACATAGGACTGGTTGTCTTAGCGACCATCTCACAGGGATACGACCCTAACTAGATACGAGTATAAGGTGATATAAGGTTAAGGGAACAAAGTGAGAAGAATGGATGCTTAGCGACTTAACACAAGGGTATATATTTATTTTAATAAGGCACCTTATATATTCTGCATAAATAGTATAATTAAATTAACAAAAACCGTAAGCTGCTGTATTTTGACACATTTTTTATTAAAACATTTATAATATTAAAAATATGAAGACTACGCTGATGATATTTTAAAAAGCAACTAATTGAGTGGAAACTGAGTATTTTGATCAAGGTATAGAATTACTAGTGTACCTTGATGTGACATATGTTGTACTTTAACCATAGGTAGTTTTAAGACAAATAAAAGGCAATATAGAATTAAATATCAATGTAATATTAGTTATCTATATTTTTTATAGTTATACAACACACGAAATAACGGTTTAAATTGAACTGAACACAAATAGGTATACCATACCTTACTATATTAGCCGTTAACTGTCCGCTGCTGAACATAGGCCTTTTGTAACCCTATTGTGGGGTTTTGCCAGTAGTTGGCAAGCTTGGTAGGAGGTACAAATTATGTTTTTCTTTTATACCAGACAGACTGTTCTTAATCAGTCTCATAGTTTGCATAAAATAAAGTAATTTAAATTAATTTAAAAAGTAAATTTACTTCCTATTTGTCAATATTAATTAAATCTACTCGTAGATAATTTGTACATAAGTATTTTTGTAATCACAGGAACAGGTGAAATATTTAGATTATATGCAAGATCATTTGGAACAGAAAGTAAACAAGGTTACTATATCGTAAGTGGAATAAATTACTGTTATTATTGAAAGACGGGCTTTTTCAGGCAGAAAAACCTGTGATACTGCGACCTTTGCATGATCTTTTGTGCTCGCCTTTTTTAAAGTTCGGTGCTAATTTCCTATCAATAATAGGATTTTTGTATATCAAAATTCCTATTATTGATAGGAATTAGTAGCGATTTTTATGTAGTGATTTTTTTTATCTTTTCAGGATGTTGAGAGTGTTTTCCGAAGGAGATATATTATTTATGTATGAGTGAACTATGACCATACATTAAGAACTGCGACGTTTCTTCCTCATTGGGATAAAATCTGCCTAGTTGGGCAACGTGCTTGTGTAGTTTGCAATGTCCAATGAGGGTCCTTGTTATATACACACATATTATTTTTACTCAAAATAATTTCTTAAAGCAGTTTTCTAGAAAGCTCTTAATCAGGGCCTTTGAGGGATTTGATACTGGCAACAGGAGCCAGCTATTAAGTGGAATTATTATTATTATTTCAGCCGTTAACTGTCTACTACAGGACATAAGTCTTCCTCATAAGGGGAGTTTTGCCTGTAGTTGCCACACTTGGCAGGGGGGTTGACAACTACCTGCCAAGCGGATATAAATTTAGCTCCACTCTCTTTTCTAGCCATTTTTAATTCTTTAGAGATTTTTGCATGGACTTGATTAGTAGATGGTGGTGTTGTTGGAGATGCGTCTAGTGTCATTGTAGTTGACTGTGAGGGAGTCTCATATTTCCTGTTGAATATTCTTGCTTTTATTATCTCTTGTATTGACTACACTAAAGGATTGGTATAAGTATAAGGATTGGTCAACTAACCATAGATAATCATCGATAAAAAGAACGGAAACAATTAAAAAACATCTTATGATCAAGGTATATTGATATTAAGGTATAGAAGCTCATATACATATATATAGAGAACAATCACTTGAATGATTGATTGGTATAAGGCGCAATAATTATTTTTCTTTGTCATTTTTTTAATTAATCTTATTCGGTTTTTATTATTATGAAATTTGAATGTTTTAAAAAGTGGTAGTTGATTGGATAATCCTTCGGGGAAATGATCCAGTTTCGTGAATATTGTTGATTGATATTGGATTTCACGGGACTATATTTTGTAGGTTTTTTACATATGCAACTACGTCACCATTTGTGAACTGCGGGTCTACCATGAATGAAATTCCGAAATTTCGGACTCTATTTCGTGTTTTTGTTTATACCAAAATCGGACCAATAAATGAAGTTTAACATTTCGTTCTTCATACATCCTATCATAAAAGTCTAAAAGAACAATATTTTAACATTTTTAATATTTTCAAACGGCATGTATTATGTAATTTTAACGTCAAATTTGTGTTTCGTTTGGCTCCGAAATTTCGGAAAACATTTCATGGTAGGCTCTCTGATTTGGTCATTTTTTTTTTTAGAATTATTCCCGTGTTGGCCCCATATTAATTGACGACTGTTGAAATCGCTATGTTGAGGTGTCAATATAGGATATGATTCCGCGTTTCAAATAATATAACATCTTCTTTTAAAGTAAGAATTCAGTTAGACGATTGCCGAGAAAAAATAATGTTTTTATTTAAAATTGATACGAACAAATTGTACTTCTTTATAATCATTGTTTATAATAAATGTAGATATAGATAAATTCAGAATTAGGTTATCATTATTATCGGTATCGAATTAAAAATAAAGTTGAAGTGGCCATATCTTGCAATAGCTATTAATATAGTAATAAAAAAATATTTATATAGTTTCTATGTAATTTTGTATCGTACCTAAGTGTACTTACTACTTACTAATTAGATATTTACCAATAAATCCAATGCCAACTGAACAACGGTTGTAAAACTTAGTATGGGCTCCTACAATGCCCCATCCGCGTCCTTCATATATACGACCATCGTTTCCAACGAGAAAGTTATATCTGAAAAGAAATGTTTATAAGATCTCAAAAATTTCCTCTTCATCGTAAAAGTACTATGAATCAACTATCACATTTCAAGGATGGTGCCAAGTAGTAACTATCGCCTAGGTGTTTATTAATATGTAAAGGATTCCTACGTTAGTTTGAATAATGAAAGATCGAATAACGTTAGCTATTGTCTGAATTCATTTGACCAAAGCATCGAGTGGATAAGACGGACACCAAATAATTGAGGTTGAAAAGTTTTACTTTCTGATAGCTCTATCCGATAAAATGTCGAGGGGAAAAGGGATTATTAGTAATTTTGTGCAATTGGCCCATTGTTAGCGATATGTCGTTCTCTATGTGGTACCTCTGGTTAATAATTATTTAATTCGTCACGATGGGCTAATTAAGCTGTATTATCCTCACCTACCATCCGTTACTGGTTTTCCGTCAGAGTGCACAAATAGCACAAGCAGAGACACTATTTCATTTTCTCTAATTAAAACACAGGATGTTTAAAGGTAACGTTTTTCAAAACGTTTAGGACTTTTTAAGATTTCAACTCATTTAGGATCTCCTTAAAATGTTTCTGAATTTAATAATCCCAGGATTGCGTTGTCAATGTTAATTGAATTTATTATCTGTTCAGAAACCTATAAGCAATGATTAAAACCGTGAATCACGCACTCGACATGCTATTGCATACATTATAATAAACAAATGAATTAAGTAATTTATAAGTGGTTTTCCTGTTTGGGTAACAATGCATTAGACTGAAGAAACGGGTAAATATCGCACCTGGAGTATAGTGATAAACTGTTTCACGCGAAAGAATATAGGTAGCCAAATATATCTATATTATACTACTATATTGAATAGTGCCTATATATACACATTAATCTATTATCGGATATGGTTTGGCGGTAATACCGGTCCCGCGGTACATCATCATTTCAGCCATTATCCATCCATTGCTGGACATAAGCCTCCCCCATAGAAAGCCATAAAGAACAGTCCTGAGCTACCTGCATCCACTGACTCCCTGCAACGCATTTCAGGTCGTCACTCCATCTAGTGGGAGGTACACACTACCTGCGGTACATGGTTTATCATGTAACGCTTACATGGTTAATCATGTAATCGTCATCATCATCGTTTACATGGTTAATCATGTAACGCGAAAGGCTGTCTAATATTGTATACCACTATCGAAAATAAACCAAGTTGCAAATATTAGTCGAGTGTTGTCGATGTGGTTATGGCGCCTCTGAGTTGTTGTGAATGTTTACATTCTGCACAGCATTTTATTTATTACTTTAGTCTTAATTGTCCACTGCAGAACATTGGCTTTTCCCAAAAGAGGAGTTTTTCTAATTGTTGCCACGCTTAGTAGTCAGGTTTGCAACTGCAGTTACGTTTTGGTGATGTTTTAAGATGGACGTTGCTGCACATTCCTCGACCATTACGTTCCCTTAGTCGCCTGTTACTACAATTACGAGAACGGAAGAAAGCCGAGCATATGTGCTGAAATGTGGTAAGGGGCTAACCTACTGTCTATTTAATGTATATATATAATTACTTATAATTTAGAATGACAAACAAGCTGACGGCCCATCTGATGGGAAGTGGTAACCGTCGCCTATGGACATGAGCAGTATCACGGAAATAACAGAGTATACTGATTCGCTCGTGATACCCCCCATACGTTGCCATTCCTGAGGACTCAGGTGTTATTCCTCTGTATCTTAAAAGCACTTAAAAACTTAGAAAGATGAGATAAATGTTAAGGAAAAATACACCGCGGATAAAATGCTCCCTTATGTGTCTTTATGTGCCTAAAAGTGCACGCCTTAAAGAAGTTCTTAAAAGATTAAAATATATTATAGATCTGGACAGTTATACTTCCTAGCTGATATTCATAAAATTCCTATAGACATTTTTCTAACTCATCTCCCTTATTTTCTATATTACATAGAGAAATAATTTTTACATCAACATATTTAAAATGTATATTACAAACAATTAACTTACTTTTTATTTTCATTATCATGAACTACGAGTAGGGTATTTTTGTGACTTTTGTGAAACTTAAATTCATGTCCGGAACTCGAGGCGATGCAATTACGCGATTTAAAATTTTATTAACTTTTGTCCATATTAGTTCGGAATTATTGGCGGTTAACCGTTATATGTGAGAATACTTACGGTATATCATAGTTATACTCTCGAAGGTACCAAGATTGAATGTTTCTTATCTCAGCTGCGCAGCGGATGAATTTGTGGCATTCGGTGCTCACCGTGTGCTGAATGATGACAAGCTTTATTGGTTGAAATTCCTTTGTAGTCTCCGTATAATTATATGGATGTGCCAACCACATCTCTTTCGTGATATTCCATTCATGGGGTGCTGTAAAATATGCCTTATATAATGAAAAAAATAATTTAAAAAAAGACTTTGTGTGCAAAAAGGAGTTTAATGAAAAATTCTAATAATAATCTTTTTAAACTCCTTTGAAAATAATGATATACTAACCGACATCAACAGTATTTGATCCAGTTTTAAAGCCGGTCATCACGTAGACTATGAGGACAATAATACAAATTATTACAGCAACGGTTGCAACGATGCATGACAACCTTTCTGTAAGGGTGGTGCTCTTTAGAATATTGCACAGATACGTTGACATAGGTAAATCTGTAATATAAAGGTACGCTGAAATAATTATACAATTATTAATTATTGATCCTGGTAACACTAATGTATCCATCGATTTACTAATAATGACTACATTGGTACGGTAACGGCTTGCATTCAATACGTAATGACTTATGGGCGCCGGCAGTAGGTGTAACGGGAGACCAGAACCCCCTGACGGGAAAGAAAAGTATAAGAATATTTTAAGTTACTCTTTTTATAGAACTTTACGTGTTCTGTTTTCTGTCTAAATGTATTAAAAACGTATATGTATAAATTTATATTTTATTAGTTTATAGTAGTGTGAATGCAGTTACGCCTCTTTCAGAGGAAACCTGACGGCGCTCATGTCACGACTTGTAAGCAACAGCCAGCGCAGTGAGAGCATGCAATGCTCACTCTTATATGCTTCAACGCAACATAATATGAAAAAGAGTAATAAGGATTGTCATCAATGGGGACACCAGTCCCCATTGATGACAATATACAATGTCAGGTTGACATCAACGTTATCGCGCTACCCCCTTTGAAAAACAATGTACAACCAGTAGACTGACCTCGTCTAAATATCATTGGTTGACCGGGCATTCTTGTTCCGGTACCATACATAGTAAGCATCGAAGATGGCGAGTGACCCAGTTCACCTTAGCCGTAAAACAAAATATTTTAAATACAAGTGACAACTGTATCTTGTTACTAACTCAATCTATGCGGGATTTGAAGTACGTTTTGGTAAATGTATGTTTTGGCGATATTGGTTTATTATCATATCAACCCTTAACCGTCCACTGCTGAACATAAACTTTAAGAGGGTTTTGCCAATAGTCGCCATGCTTGGCAGGCGGATTGGGAACCGCATTGCTACCCATTCCTCGCCGTTCCTTAGTCGTGTTTTACAACATCCACGGAAAAGAAAGGGGTGGCCTGTTCTATACCGTGACCACACGGCCCTTTGGCGCATACACATGGGAAATTATATGCGTGAATACACTACTATATACTTTTATGGCATTAACTTAATTGGTAAGATATCTAAAATTATTTGTATTTACGCCTATATTGTGCTGAACAGCATTAATTTCGACTTACACCAACGCTATTATCTTATTATTAGGCGTTCATCAGTGATAAGGTCATAGATTATTGGATTATGCAGTAAATTGAATGCAATATTAATTTATATTAATTTTTATTTATATGTTAGACTTTGGATATAGTTTATGATTTAAAGTCTAGAATTTAAATAGAAGGTACCTTGTTAATTTGTTACTTAGTACGTAATGGGAAATATTTAGTAAGTAACTATCATAATCATATCAGACACTAGTCCACTGCTGAATATAGACCTTTCCTATAAAGGTTTAGTAAATATTAATGTTTTTTTATATTTGAGAAAATGCGGGATGGTGAAGTAATATGGTATTATGGTTCTGGTCAACTCTACAGTATGGATTTAAAGTCGTTAATGATACGTAAAATTAAAAATCTATTTTCAGTGTACCTAAATTATATTAATATAGAAATCTAGTGAAACGAAAATTGTAGAATCTCAAATTTATTGTCTTTTTCAATCGTTGTTTATTTGGCGAAAGAGTTCAGTTCCGTTGATGGAGCACTCTCGTCAAAGGATGCTAACGATTTTAATTTTACCAAGGTCATAACGCTACGAATACGCTATAATGGCCATGATGCTTCTTTGGAGAGAAACAAATGTTGACATATCTGTCTGTTATCGAAACCTTTTGTTATAAATCTACTTTTCTACCTTAATTCCACGTACGTATGACAAATAGTGCAAATTTAGTATAAAATATGCACCTACTCATTTATGAAATAAGGGAAAACCCATGCGCAACATTGTGGCGTTGGTTAGAATCATATTCAGCGTTCAAAGACTAAAAGAATCTTAAGAGTGACAACCGAAAGCACAATTATAAGTCATAGCTATAGATAATATAATATTATCGCATTATAGATAGCTATATTCATAAGGCCTTCTATTTAATATATATATATATATATATATATATATATATATATATATATATATATATATATATATATATATATATATATATATATATATATATATTATACCTTTGCTTGCGGGAATAATTTTTTCCCTTACAGCCTACGAATTATAGTGGTTGCCCACGAGTTCGTCCATCACATTACGCGTTTATTTGTTTGCCTTGTATTTAGTTGACTTACTCAATATATAATCAGAATTTATTTTTCTCAAATCCAGTCAACTGTTAATTACTTGTAATAATGTATCATTCATATTTGGAGATATCCTCTTTACCTTCAGTAGTATTTTAAAAAATGATAAGCCATTTTATTTCTTAGCAAAAGACAAGATTCAAATTTCGCCTTCCTAACTTAAAATTAACAAATATGCGTACGAATTTTTATATAAATCACTATCTTTCACACGTCTTAGCATTAAAATAACAAAATTTCCATACAAATTTACTTTCTCCAGTTCCAAAATTTCCGTAAACACTGTATTTTATTTATATCTAATCAGAAGTCTAAAACTAAAGTTTCGTATTTTTAGGTCCATTTATAATAAAAATCTTATAAAAAAACATTTTTTATTTCACCCCTTTTTAGGGGTAATTTCTTTAAAAGCGAATAAATGTTATATATTTTTATAAAACCATGAGCTAATTTAAAATTTCGCGCCTCTTACTTCTAAACGACGAAATTGTATATGACCTTTTAATCTTCGTTTTACTCTCTTAGGGGTTAGATTTTCAAAATTATGTTCTTTATTATTTTTCAGCTACGCTTAATAAAATAAGTATCTGCAAAAATTCAATATTCTAGATCCAGCGGTTTCGGCAGTGCGTTAATGTATGGGTCAGTCAGTCAGTATACTGTATGAGAAATAATAGCTGAGTAGACGCTGGGTAGACACTGGTATATTGTCAATGCACACAGATAGCGCAGGCGGGGTTAGCATCCCATTTCTTTTCCATTAAAAAAGTATGTATTTACAATTAAGTCCTCGAAGGTTGTAATTACAATTTTTCAAATGTAAAATATCTTTATTTAGAGCAGCATTTACATAGCCATAATTTTTGGTCTATATGTCAACATAAAAAAATCAAAGAATCTGCGAACAATATATGACATGACAAAAGCGAGGTCATTAATTTAAATTTAAAATAGGAATGGCTCAAAAATAGATCCCAGAGGTACACCCATTGACATAAGCCACCCGTTAGATGTATCGCTATTTACTTCAACTTTTTTTGTTTGATAAATATGATTTGATTAAGTTTAAAACATTGTCCTTCACACTATAAAAAACTGGTTTTTTCAGCAATGCACACAATTCAAACCCTTAGATAGGTCACAAAAAATGGCAATCGCACCCAATTTACTTTCTCAGGCAGTAAATGTGTTTTAGTATCTACGTATCTACATCCGTAGTTGATCAATCTTTTATTCATTATTAATTAATTCATTTAAATTATTTATTTGGCAATATATCCACAAAAGTTATTGTTTAGTACGGATTTTGGTCCGGGCCTGAATTTATGCTTAAGAGTCATTAAAAATTGAACCACTCGGATCTGTGCTACCATGTGGAACCGCGACGGCTATTTGAAAGATATTATATTCCATACATAATGGCTTACATGGATCTTTAAAATAGAAAAATCTATTTCTTTAATACTTCATACACAGTTTGTTTTATTCCGTCTCAACATCTACCCGTCCTTATTGAAAACCCTTTAGTAAGGTCTAGTAAAGGAATTATCTATATATATGTATAATTAAAAAAGTTAATATACATATATAAACATATTTTTTATTTAAATTATATGTAGAATATATACATATAAGATATTGTACATTTATAAATGACAGTTGTGGATGGTTTATATTCAATTCTTTTTATTATATTTTGCAATACAAGTGGTATAGGGAAAGTTAATCAAGTCTCATTGGAAGTCTTTGACAATTTTCTTACCTAATTCCATAAGTATTTTCTTGTTCCACGAAAAGTATGATAAATTAAGTAAATCCTTTATTTCTATGGCGTCTCGATTACTGGATATTATTTTCATAGGCATTGCCAATCAAAAGAGAAACAACATCTGTTACATGGTTATATCAGATGTACAAACTTGTGCATGTTTGCGATTTATCTCTCAAATATTCATAATAAAATTCTAAGATTATATATTAATTATAATCATAAAAATTACATCATCCTGGCAAACATAAGTTTGAGTTCGAAGAGTTCCAATGCTTTAAATAATGCAAGTTCTTCATGACGTTTGGACCTGGACTTATAGTTTGAGTAGAGACTTGACAGTTTCCATATATGGTGTAATCAGAGCGTAAAACATTTTTCTCCAGAAGAACATCAAGAAGGATATTGAGATGGTTGAATTGAGCTTCAGAAATCGGATCCTTTCTATAATCTCCCATAAACATAACGCTTATCATTTTAGTGTTCCACGATTTGACCATAGCGCCTATAACATTTGCGCCTCTCCCTTCAAAGAGTAGACCGTTGCCACTCAAAAGGAAATTAGGACCGATGTCTCCAAAGTCCCTCTGGAGATGGTCTAGTTGGATGTCAAGCATTTTTTGTATGCAGGAGTACTTTTCAGTGCAGTAATTGCTTGCTGAATGCCCTATAAGTACATACTGGACTGGCAATTGAAGAAATTCAATTTCATATGCGGGCATAGCCTGCCAATCGTCACGGCGAAGATACCATGGCTCCTTTATACCTAGTCAGAAGAACGTTATATGTAAGATTTGTGCTTGTAAAATAGCAATATAATATTTTAGTAATTTATTTAATTTGAAATTTAAATAATTATTATATGTCCTAAGGTAATGACTGCAAATAAATCTGATTTTAAGTAAGAATTAAAAATAATATAATATTCAGCCTGTCTGACAATCAGTTAGAAAAAAGTAATTAGAAAGAAAAAGTCAAAGCTATAACTGCTTATAAAATTGATTTTATAAAGTTAGTGAATGTTTGAATTGTTAAAATTGTCTAGAATTAAATAAATCTGTGTTTCAACAACAAAAATACTGCTGTTAAGAATGAACGTCCTTTTGATGTATTATATATATCCTTTAATATGTCTGAAGTACATAGTTAAAAGGATACTTAAGTAGTTCAACTATAAGCAAGTTTAACTTGTTAGTAAGCGAGTGTTATTAGTGAAATTAATATCTCAGAAAGACAAAGCTTTTACAAAATAACTATAGAAGTATGCTTTGATGTATCCTTCATAATAGTATTATGTTATCCGTGACTACGTAATTCCTGCATATAACAATGAGGCACCTTTGAGTAACACTGGGTATATGAAATTTTGAATTTCATTACGTAAGGTTTATAATTATTCTGTTAAAATACAGAAGTAGGTAACTATGTTTATGATGAACATGTGTAATGTAACACAATAAATAAACTTTTGAAAGTACCTTAAAAGGGTAAAATTTGTTAAGAATTCAATATAACAATTTGTGGAAAATTAGAAATATTTTTGTGCAATATTATACAAAAGAGTAGAATATTATACTTTCTACTGTATTATAAGAAGATAAATCTAAATGAACGTTTTTACTGCAGGTATAATTATTGTTAATGGATAAATTTGTCATATATATTGATTAATAGCTTGTTAGTAATTATTTTTAATAATTGTACAATACAGAATGATGAAAGAACATGTCTTTTACCTATATCTAGAAGGGTTTGGTGTTTGTACAATGCAAAATACAAAATGCAGAAGGCAAGAGCAGAGGCGACTAGGAGCGCCCAACACACGAAGACGGCAACGGTACATCGGAGTCGTGGGGCAGTGTTAGTTGACACCAACTCGAGGCCTAGTATACGGCCTGAAACATTACCAAGGCATTATTATAATCTGTTTTATGTAATAGAATTGAATGAAAATGGAAACTAATAAACGACCCAGCTATCAGACTACTAATGTCCACAGTATAAAATTTGTTGAATCTTTCAATTGCTTCCATTTAAAAAGTATTTCTGTAATGTTTTTAATAAAACTTGGTTACCTTTGCATTAAGTTTTATGAAAACAGACTATAATTTGGTATTAATATAATTGTTGCGACGGACTGTAATATAGAGTTTTGTTTTACATAATTTTTCTACTGTAGTATTCAATGTAATTGTAAAGGACTCTGTGGACGGTCAAGCGGTTTGAGTAAGTACTACGCATCTATTACCGCTTCTTTGATAAAGAATATAGGATAACGCCTTTGCCTTTGTATCATAAGCGACGTGTATGTCCGTATTGCTCATATGAACTATAATAAAACAAATCTTGTGTCAATCTTGAATATGATGGTCTATCTGTAAATAAAACTCCATTAAAAATCGTCCAGTTTAATTCAGCTGCTCAAGCGCTGTCTTCTTTTTTGGGCATATTTCAGTAGTGGCGCATTATTAGAAATTTACCACATTAATAAATTAATATTAACAGGATTAATAACATACATATTATTTCTATTATAAATGACGAAATGTGTTGAAAACTTTTTCAACCGAAAAAGTAAAAAAAAAAAAAATAGTTAAGCTTATTAAGTTATAGTCAAGCTAAAATATACTTTCTGTTATTAGAAAATTTAGCCCAAGGTCAAATACGCGCAGTCCAATTAGAATTACGATATACTCATACCTCAAGTAAAATCTGCAAACTGCAATGCATGCGTCTATCTTGCGATAACAAAAATTTACTTCAATTAGCTGATAAATAAGTAGGTACGTCTGTTAAATGAGGATACATTGTTTTATAACCATTGTCTGTCTATATATAGTATATCTGTCTATAAACTAGCTAATGTAAAATTAATACAAATTTAGGCTAAATGCTAAAAAAAAATATTTTTGGAAAAAAAATGTGTATTGTTGACATATTTTATAGCAAGTTACGTAGGAGATAAGGAAATATGTGAATGTGAATGTGGATGTGAATGTGTGAAAGTAAATGTAAATATGTGAGTTTGAATGTGTAAATATGAGTGTGTGAATGTAGATGTGTGAATGAGAATATGTGGATGTGAACGTGTGGAAGTGAATGTTTGAATGTGGATGTGTGATTGTGAATGTGTGGATGTGAATATGTGGATATGAATGTAAGGATGTCAATGTGTGGATGTGAATGTGTGGATGTGAAAGTGTGAATGTGGATGTGTGAATGTAAATGTGTGGATGTGAACGTGTAGATGCGAATATGTGGATGTGAATGTAAGGATGTGCATCTGTGGATATGAATGTGTGGATGTGAAAGTGTGAATGTGGATGTGTGAATGTGAATGTGTGGATGTGAATGTGTGGATGTGAATGTGTGGATGTGAATGTGTGGATGTGAATGTGTGGATGTGAATGTGGATGTGTGAATGAGAACGTGTGGATGTGAATGTGTGGATGTGAATGTGTGGATGTGAATGAGAGGATGTTAATGTGTGGATGTGAATGCGTGGATGTAAATGTTCGAATGTCAATTTGTGAATATGAATATATGAATATGTATACGTGAATGTATGAATATGTGAATGTGTGTGTGGTCTTAGTATAGAATAGGCCACCTTTTCCTTTCCAGTGGGTGTTGTAAAATGGAAGCTTATGGTCGAGAGATTGGCAGCAGTATTTTTTTTAAATATAACCAAAGCCATAACTGCGGTTGCCAACTCGCCTGGCAAATGAATGTGTGAATGTGACTGTGTGAATGTCAATGTGCGAATGTGAATCTGTAAATGTGAATGTGATAATTATGCACACTTACAGCTGTTTAGTAAATCCTTTATATTTTGTCGATCTCTTAAGAGTTATGTAAATACAATTTGGAATGACATGTATGTTCGCATTGTAAGATACAAACCATGAAAATACTTTTTTTTTACGTAGTAGCAATTTAACGTTATACCAGTAAAGATGAGAGATATTTCTTATTAAAGATATGCTCGCCTTTGTACATTACTTTTAAAATTAAATATATTCTTTTACCATTTTTGGGTAGAACAAAGAATAAAGATATTTTTTTTCGAATTGTAAATAGAACGGTACTGTTTAAATAAGGAAGTTTGAAAACGAACCTAACTTCGGTAATTAAAAGAAGAAAAACAAATTTGTTTTGTTAAAATGTAGAAAGGTCTTCCTATAAACAGGTTCAAGTACATAATTAGTGTAAATAAAACAAAGACCAAATAATAAACAATCCAATAGCTATTGTTATTGTTATGTTTAAACATTTCCTATTTTGCAGTCGTTTACAAAATAAAAAATTTGTAAGCACAGGACTAATTTAATTTTTGACGATCTACGTAACACAGTGGTAGGTATATTGCTTTTCTAATGAGGTTCCGGGTTCAATTTTCTGTCGGACCAATTTAACACACAAACTAATATCCTTTCATTTACAACTAAACTATTTTCCCTAAAAAACATGCAGAAAAATTAGAAAAATATTGTATTTTCCATAATAATTTAACAAGTGAATGCGCTATCAGTAAGTCAGCTTATAAATTTCTTGCTTTTCTTTTCTTATTTATTTAAGGATAAGTAAGTGTACATTAATAACATCTTACACCTAAACTATAATATAGAAAACTACATAATTCCTAAACGATGTTTGCTAAGCTGACAATCTGAATTAGTGGTGGGCCAAGTTGGTCTTGACTGTATTCGAGTATTCGATAGTTATTTTATCTAACTTGATTAATTTCTGAAGTGATAAAGACTATTTTTTGTCAGCTACTTTGTACGCGTGGATCTCAGAAGTAAAACTAATGAAATAGACTAGTTCTTTATATCGTATCAAAATATACAGTGTTCAGGAATACGTCTGTCAAAATCGCATTCAATTTGATGCAGTAATTTTTGTGTAATGTTGGAATTAAGAAATATACTGACAAACAAAATTTCTAAATAAACACTGTTCTGGTATCTAATGGTGTTACTAATATTCGCTGTATAAATTTTTCTTAAATATCTTTCATGCACGTACATAGTTTAGTCACCATTTTAATATTACCTACCTATTAGGCAATCGAGACAGTAATCCAGTCAGTACACGAGTAAGCCAAATTGCCGAAATTGGCTTACTATTGAGCATCACTATTGAGTATTCGAGTATATTTAGGTACTCGAGTTAGTACTTTAACACAGTATCGGAATTCGAGTATATGAATGCCTATTAGCATTCGAATCAGTTTTCGAGTCGGCTTACATCGGTACATAACTAATTTCAACGGACTTGAATTCCATTGAAATTGATTGGTTTTTGAAGCTTATTTTTTTAAGATATTATTAAGAATTATTACTTATTTAAAAAAAAATTCTTTGGTAATTAGAGGAAATAAACTAAAACAAATATTTACGATAGACACGTAACTAGTATTGGAGTATTACAAATACTCGCATCCTGTATTCATGTAGAATAATATATATATATTTAATTTTTAAGTTATTATAGATATAAGCTTACCTCAAAAAAAATGATGTATTAAATCAACTTTTATCGGGTTCGAATATTTTTGTGCTCATTAAATAAAAAATCTAATTTCATCATCGAATTTGGGGATTCAGACCAGCAACCGATACTAACAGCCGTGCGACGAGTATGTTTATTGTTTCTATGCAGAAAGACACCTAAAGCAGCTATTCGCTAAATTAGATACAAAAAAGATATACCCGATGAAACCTAAGTAGAAGACCAAGAGGAAAATCTACGTAAAAAAACGTGCCCATGATACAGGAACCAAAACTTACAATAAACATGCGTTTACTATTCCAGTACCGCCAGTAATGGAATCTTGTACTGGAATCAGTAGGTTTTTAAGTTAATACTCGAGTTAACGTAACTCGGCACACCATTATTGAGTATTTGAGCATCTGAGCAATTATTTTTTTTTAATGTAAGATAATGGAATATTAACCCTGGCTGCGTTAACGGTATACGCTGGCAGAGCAACGGTGAGGGATGATAGGTGAGAATGAAAAGGCAGGTTGGTCAGCTTACTGTGATGAATTCGTCTGGACTTCAACACGATGGTTTCTAGGGGGACCACGTCCAGATTCCCTTAACAATGTCACGACCAGATCGACATGACAAGGTATACTGCTAGCAGTGGAACTGGTAGTCCGCATTACTAACAATTCCCTTCCCCCTTTCTGAGTAAATATTAGGTATTAGAGTCAATACTCAAATGAGTACTTGAGTCAACCTGACTGGGTACATGACTGTTGAGTATTCAATATCATAGGACATCATTATTGGATAATTGAGTATCTGTGTACCTATTAAGTATTTGAGTCAGTACTCGCGTTGTTTTGATTCTGTGCATCACTATTGAGTACTCAACTATGTGAGTACCTATTAGGTATTATTCCAGTATATATTTCATTAATTATTCGCGTCAGTAATCAAATCCACCTGACTCGGAATATCAGTATTGAGTACTCCAGTATCTGCACAAGTATTTGAGTACCTATTAGGCATTCGAGTTAGTACTTGAAACAGTTCGATTTTACAATAATTTGCATTAAGCAAGTAGGTATAATTCTCGCACAAAATAAACAAACAATCATGAATTTTTTACTAGTTTGTGTGTTTTCTATGTATTTTATATATAAAGTTATATATAAAAAGTATTTAAGTATGTCTGTAAGTTGTTTAGTATCTACAAATAATACAAGTTCTGCTTCGTTTGGAGCTAGAACCATTTTTATATTCTTTTTATTTGTGAATCCTAAATTATAAATTGTTTGATACAAGTAGTTGAAAATGTTTATCAAATATTTAATTTTAAGAAATATTGTGTCTCTTCAAGTATTTATTTCGTGATATAATTGGGAACAAACACACTGCTCGGATAGCAGTTCGAATCCAACTGAAGTATTGCCGTCGGAAGGGTTTTTCCAAGTTATTAATATTCATGAATATTGGATGTTTATGAATATATTCCAGAGACGGGCTGATCAATTAAAAAGGCGCATATTTACTTTTAAATTAAATATGTCACTTCGTGTAACTGAAAGTTCCGCTCTTATTCTGGGTAGGCACGAACCGATTCTTTTATATGTTATAGGTATGAAAATATTATAATAAGTGGGTGTAATTATTAAAAAAAACATTTTACAATCGTATAAATATTGTACAGTAGTTACATATATTTGGTCCATAAACTTGGAATAAAAGTAGTTTAGTTCACGAGAAAATATATCTACTAAGTTTATATATTCACAATACTTTTATTAATACCATATTACAACACTGATCCCACATTGTTTGGTCCAAATAACGTTAATAAAGAAAGGTATAAAGGATAAACATGTCAAAAATATTACGAATTAACTATTGATGTCTGAACAGGATAAATGAGAAGGGGAACAATCGTTAAGTTTAAAAAGGTCACGATTTCGATAGCACAAAGATCACCTGATTATCAGACTTCCTCAAGTAGCGCGATTGCTATTCTAAGTATCATAAAAAATTAAAACAAAACTATTTAAAAAAATACAGGAAAAAATTTCTTGGAATTACCTACCTTTAATTACTTCGGTGGAGTGAACAGTTTGATTCACGTTCGTTATTTTGGGGCCGAAGTGCACGCGGGATGATCTGGTGACGCTCAAATTATTGATGGTCGGCATATTAGGAGGCCCGTTGACTATGGGCTGGTCATCCAGGTCGACCATTTCAGCAGTATAGGAGCCATAGTTCCTATTGTAAGATGGAGACATCCTGTTAGTATCAGCGTCGTACCACAACATTGCTGCCATAATAAATTCCGAACGTCTTGAGAGAGGTTTTTTGGTGCCTCGTACACGACAGTTCAATTCGTCGGCTGAGTCACGACTGGCACCATCCATCGTTAAACAATACCGACTGATAAATATTTGCAGTACTCGCTTCGCAGCTATTTCCCCCGCATCCCTCGCTTTCGTCTCTCGTCATTGCTATGCCCATATGCAAAAGGTTCTCGAGAAGGCGGTTTATCTCATTTTACTGGGTATGGTATAAAAGTTATCGATTTATCTAATGAAAAGGGTCAATATATTAACTATTATTATAGTCAATAGATCAATTAAAACTTTGAATACGAAAGAAGTAAAAATAAAATATCTATATGTACTGTCGTCATCTCACTTGACATGCGCAGCTAGATATCCCAGTGGACTAGTGATAATAAGGATAAACGGAACGATACAATATGTACAAGTAATTAAGTATATTTATTACTAAAAAAATTAAATTAAATTATTTATCACTTTATCCATTTGATTAAAAAATTATAAAAAAATATTTTTCAAAATATTTGTTAGGAGCTATATATCTACATATATGTACTTATTAAAATTTTTTCAATTACAACGACTGAATTGAAAACTCTAGGTGGAATAAAATATGCAATTTAAATGTAGATATAAATTATTTTACCTTTTACTTTTCATTTATTTTTCTGAATAATAATTTTATTTTAATTAATTTGTATATTCGCAAAATATTTTCACTCTGGTAATATTGCTAACTACTAGCACTAGTGGATAATATTTATTGTGTGTACCTATATTAAAATTAAGGACTTTCGAGACTAGACTTTCGGACTTATGAGGAATAAATTGAAAATTTAGCTGTCTAGCCTGTTATATTATTAAAATAATCGCTTATTAATTTTATAATAAACAAGGAAGGATACAGGATAAATACATTCATAGAATGGTATTAAAATACTAATAAGGCAATATTTATGCTGATTATTAATGTACAATATTATATTTACTTATAAAAATGATAATTTTAAAATTTAGACATATCATTTGCAATGGTAACTAAATATAAGTACACAATTGTAATGTCATAATGTCAATAATCTGAGATACGAACTTGAATACTTACTTACGTAAATTAATTTAAGTATATATATATATATATATATATATATATATATATATATATATATATATATATATTCTATTGGTATATACTGACAGGGTACCAGCGAGTGTTGATAAGTAAGGATGAAGTCAAGTCGGTAAGCCCTTTGTGTTGTATTCACCAGGATTTAACTACGATGGTTTCCAGGGAAACTGTGCGAAGGTCGACATAATAGGGTATAATGCTTGTAATAGGGCCGTTGGAGCCAATTACTAGTGTACCTATAAATCCGTACCTTAAACTCCGTCACTTATAAATAGATTTGGAAAATTGATTTTATCTGAAAGGGTATACTTTCAGATTGGCACCACAGGAATTTTATGAAATTCGGTTTAATAGATTAGTTTTTAAATCAGGTTTTGTCACGAATCGATGTTTTTTAGGTGAACAAAATCTTAAATTATGTACGACAAGTTTGTATGAAATTATGATGGAGTTTTTTTAAATAATCAGCTAGAGACGTAATTAAGTTTTCACTACAAATTATTTTCTGGCTGACCTAATTTTAGAAAATACTTTTCGGAATATTGAAACTTCTTTGTGGCCATAATGTACATTTAAGTCTGGCCTCATATATATGTTGATATTATTTTTTATACGGTTTTAGTTTTTATTCAAATAATTGTTTCGTCTTGTATCTATACGCATATCATAACATATTGTTGTTGTTCTAAAGAAAATTATGACCAGAGGGTCACAGAGGAAAATAATTTTCTCTGGTCTGGAAAATAATAACCAGAGGAATATAATAACGGAAAAGGGATTTGGTAATAGTATACATTACCTTTGTAGATAATTATTAAATATGTTTGTTTCTCCACATTACATTTCTTAATATGTAAGCACTAATTAATATGTGAACAATAGGTTACTAAGAGATCTCTTATGTCTTCGAAAACCTTAGTTTTAGTATCCAATCATTTTAGAAATTTAAGAATTAGATCTATTTCATCTTTTTTATTTTATAAAATTATTAATGGGCATATAACATGACCAGAAAGCAACAACAATAACAACATAACGACGTTTGACGATATTTTTGTACGTACAAAAAAAATATTCCGAAAAAAATATTATAGAAGAAATGGAAATAATTAAAAAAAAGAATTTTGTATACATAATTTAAATATATACGAAATTCTGACTGGCTAGTGTGCCAGCAACATCTTACTAATAGGTTTTTTCAATGAAAAAATAAACCGGCTTTCATTTTAAGATGAAATGAGAAAGAAAATAAAATACACTAACTAAAATAGATGATTCTTAATTGCGGTACTTGCACCTCTAACATTAGGGGGAAGCGGGAATGTAACTAGGTTAAACGTCTCCCGGAGGTGAAAATACATCACGTGCCTCCCCCCCCCCGCTCCCAACACGTTTCACTCAATTAAACGAAGAATGGTCAACCATGACCAGTGAAACGAACGTAAACAACACTCCTGAAATTGTTGCCAAACCTTTACTGTACTTTTCGTAATTGACTTTGGTAGGTGGTAAGTAAATATTCAATTTCAAAGGCGGAAAGTTAATTTAATAGATACTGCAATTAAACAATCAATAGGTACAACATGTACAGGAATTAATAATTACAGTGTATTCGGTATGTTATGTATTATGTATTAGTTTACACTTATGTGTACGTATGTATATTTAAATGGGGCTTTAATTAAAAAAAATATATTAGTTATTACCATTATTTACTAGCTATGCCCGCGTGAATTAGTTTATAAAATATTCTATGTGTTAAATTGATAAAAATTAGGATATAATTTACTCTTATGTAGAAATGATGGTATAAGGCAGGGGGAAGCACAAAAGATCCCGATGGGTCAACGTGCAACAGCTTAGCTGACCCCATATGCGAATATAATATAAGATAAGATACTAGTATATACTATATTTCATTTAATGGTATGGAGTAACAAATATATAAACGATATTGCTAACGTTCATATTTATAATGTTATTATTTCTCACCGGTATTTTTTGTAAAACATTAGATAATATTTTAGCGCGTCTAGCCTTGTCGCCTCCCCCCCCCCCTCTAATTATCGATGAATTCGTCACGATGAGTCAACAGACCTGGTATCATCTTCACCTATCATTCGTCGCTGTGGCTCCGTTAGCATATACCGATAGTGCAGTCCGGGATACCAGCCCATACTCATCGATTAAAAAAAATAACATCAATATTAATTATTTATTCAAAGATCGCATTAAAATCTTTCACTATTATTAGCAAGTTAAGCTTGTATGCTTGTAAACTGTGTAGACGAGCAAAACACTTGAGACTTAAAGCGAGTTCGCTATTCATATTATGTAAAAATATATAGAAGATTAAACATTTTAAAGTCATAGACAAACACTGTGATTTTTATTTACATACATAGGTACCGAATTTATTCATTTATAGATTAAATACATCTAAATAGAGTCGATCAGTATCAAAAAAGTTGTTTGCTAACACTAAGTTTTATATTGGGTATGTACAATCTCTTTTTAGGGTGTATGAAAGTTCTAAGGTTAATATAGTTTATTTCAGCGATAATGTCTATAGCTGAGATGATGATGATGATCTATACAATAATAATAAAACTGTAATTTAATAAAAAAAATATATGAAAATTCTTAATAAAAACATTAGAATCTAAAATAATAATTTTTAAAATGTTTGTCTGTATATTTGTTCCGACATCACGAAAAAACTACTGCGTTAAATTGAATGTGATTTACATAATCATATTTCCGAAGCTCTAATTTAAAATATGGCTTATGTTTAATCTTGATACGACATCTACAATCAGTTTATTAGTTTCCTACTTCGAAAATCCATGAGAACAAGTTGCGGACAAAAACTAATTGTAAATACGATTACATATTATAAATAAAATGACGGTTTGTGCAATCAAAGGTATCGATGACAAAATTAATACAAATAAAAAACGTTCAACAAACATTTGAAAATAATCATTTGAGAAAATGTTTATGTTGTAGCATTTGTAGCGAGATATCTAGATTACGGCATTATTGAAAACACAGAGCAGAGAAGAGCTAAGAAATATATATAATATATAAGAAATATAATCAATTCTGAGAATAAATATTCTCAGAATTGATTACACTCGTAGTTTTAGTGTTTTCAATATAAAATAAATGTAACTAACTAAATCTAGTGAGATGCGTTATCTAGATTACGGCGTTGTTGAGTACTCAAAGCAGAGAAGAGCATGAGACATCTTATTCTCAGAATTGCTTATAGTTTTAGTGTTTTGAATATTAAATAAATGTAACAAACAAAACCTGGCACATTCAAAATTTCCCTTATTAAGTAAATAAGTTTAAAATATTTTTGTTCTTCTTGTTAAAAATATTATTTGTACGTATATATATATATATATATATATATATATATATATATATATATATATATATATATATATATATATATATATATATATACATATATATATATATATATACACGTATATTTGATATTGATATGTCGTTCAAGGAAGTCACCCAGCGTGAGTTTGGGGACACGTTATTCGATATAAAGTAAGGTAAAGGACCACGAGTAATTATTTAACGCTATTTACCTACCCACTGTTCCAGTAGGATTTATCTGACAGACAAACCGCGTTCCTGTATCTGCTTTATTTTTGTTTATCCGACTGCTTTCTACAATAATTAAGTGAATAGGATAAATGATAATATATTAGCCAATTGATAAATATGTTTTATAGAATATATTTATCAGAATATATTATATGTAGAAAAAACCAAGCCGAATCCAAAGAACATAGGCATGAACACAAATGTTTGCAAGTGCGGGTTTCGAATTTGTGACCATCGAAAAGTGAGACAATATGGGTTGGGTTATATATAAAGATACTGAAACAATTTAAGAGTACACTGTACAAATGGCTTTTCGACAAGAGTTATTATTCTATTAAGGTC